AAATTCAAATTTTTAAGAAAATTGTTAAAATAAAAGTTGTTCTGACGTCATTTTCTATAATTTTTGTCCCACACATGATTTTCCTAAAATGGGCCGTATTCGAGAAATTTGAGGAAAAGTGTAAAAAGACAAGCATATTTATAACTTTAGGTATGACACATCAGATTTTTAGAATAACATTTTAGGTTTAGAAACATATAAAAAAAAATTAAAAAATACCTATAGTAATTTCATAAAAATTGGAAAATATTTTTGTTAAGAATCCTAAAAGATTATGGAAATCCAGAGATACATGGAAAAATCCGAAAGTGGCATGACTGTCCTAAATATTACCATAGGGTACTTAAGTATGTATTTTTTGATAATTCCTACTTTAATCTTCATACATTTATTAAGGTTCACGGTTCGAATCAATATTGGTCCAAGACAATCATGACATTGGCCTAATATTGGTAATCATTTCGAAATGCAGTCAATTAATTCGGTTGTTTGTTAATAAACAGAAAAACATTCTACTTACAATTTTTCTTTCAATCCAAGATCCAGATGAAGAGGCACTTCTCAATAATTCAGAAAAATCTTTAAATAAAAAAACAAAAAAATTAGCTATCCTTAAATTTAAAAGAAAATGTGTGGAAATATAAAGCTTTAACGGTAATCCGGCATTTTACATCATGGCGTGTTACATATTTTAATTAATAGGAAAAAGACTACATCAGTTTTTATGTGAAAGGTTCTTAAAAATGTTTAAACAAAATAACTTTTATCTTAGTAATAGAAAATATTATTTCTTTAAACAATTATTTAATGAAAAAAATGTATGTACCAGTTATTCACGGTCATGGAGACACATGCACAACCTGAGACAATAGTCTATTCCTACACACCACAGTGTTGCCAGAATATTTTTTTGTTATGTAAGTGTTTTATTAGTGACAGTCTGATTATATTCATAAAAGAGCAAAAAAAAATAAAAAAAAACAGTGTAGCTAATAGGTACACTAATAGACACCCAGTCAAATGAAGGCATACCCACACGCTGGAGATAAAAGTACCTACTAGCTTTTGCCTCAAGCATACTAAATATCAGATTCTTTAAGAATATACTAGACTGGCAACACTGACACACTACACATGCAAAAACTACAATATTAAGTAGGTATCAAAATATTACAGTACAAATCATGCGCTGTATGAACTTTATGCGAAGAGCGCATGGTGTTTTTTGTACCGTACCGTAATATTATGGTTTTTGAGTGTACCTATTGGAACAGACCTGTTGTAAACTGAAGCTGCTGGATTACCATTTGGTTATAGTGATTAATGATTAGAATTAACATTGGCTTGAGATAGGCATGCAATTGGCCTAATATTGTCAATAATTTCAAATTATATTTTTACTTTTTAATCAGCAAAACAGGTTTAATAGGTATGCACAACTCTTACAACGTAAACTGAAACTGCCGGATTGCCACATGTCTAAAATAATTAACGATTTGATTCAATATTGGTTTGAGATAGGCATACAATTGGCCTATTATTGGCAAACATTTTAAAATACACAGCAGTAAATTTTTATTTGTTAATTAGCAAAAAAAGATTGTACTTACATTTTATGAAAAAACATCCCTCACTCAAAAGCACAGTTTTCACTAAAAAAAATTCGTAGCTTATATTAGAACAAGTATTCGGGCAGCGTCCAGTTGTTAGACGTATTTCGTACACATCTGTTGACTGCTGTTACAAGACTGAGACTTAGGCAAGGTGGCGCGTAGCTTGACATGTGATCTCTCACGTGACTTAGGTCGGAGGGGTGGATAAGGTGGTTTCATAATAGCTCTATTGATTGTGAATGCCGTATCCTGAGAGCTAGAGCTTGGCTAGAGCTTATATCTTAATCGGTTAAACTGGGGCTAGCTGTTAGCTTGTTGTCATTCATTTTTGCTTAGTAAAATGTTCGAAACCTAATAATTTTAATACAATAATAATTGTCTAGAACATTATTTTGGTTAAAGTAAAATATTGTGATGTAGTGGTCAAATTAGTAGGTAGGTACCTACATATATTGATATTAGGATTTATTTCCAAAATTAATACTTTTCTAATATAGGTAGGTATTTATAAAAATTTTCATAAACTAAAAATCAGATATTTCAATATTAAATTAATACCTTTATATTTTTATAATTTGAATATTTAACTCTTTAGTTATTCTATAAAAAAAATGCAAAATTTGACGTTTTTTTTTAACTCACAAGTCCCATAACGCATTTTTTTAATGGATTGAAACAAAATCTTTTTTTTTTTTAGTAAACAATTATTACTTGGCATTAATCAACTTGTTTTAAAATAAAGTCTTTGTTTAATTTGGAAAATAATCGATTATTCCGTTCAGCATACTGATATGGCCTACATATGTAAATTATGTAAAAAATAGTTAATATGCACGTGGGTGTAGAAAAAAATCAATAAAAATCCAATTAAGTACCGTTATTTGCTATATTATACCACATTGGAATAAAACTTATATTGGAGTCATATTGGAAAAAACGTTGCCAATAAGAACATAAGAAATTCATGTTCGTCTAATATTAGTCCTATATTTCGATATAAGATTGAATTATTTGCCCAATATGAGATAGCAGAAACTATTTCTCCAACATTGGTACTATCTAAAAAATAAAGTTTAAAACCTTGACAGAAAATCAATAAAAATCCACTAAACTACCATTATTTGCTATATTGCAACCACATTGCAAAAAAATGGTAAATTATATTGGATTAATATTAGAAAAATAGGCGCTGCCAATATGAACATTAAAAAAATATGTTGGGCTGATATTGTTCAAATGTTTTAAATCAATATATTTTTTATATCAGACTGAATTCTGTTGCCAATATAGGCTACTGTTATTTTGTCATCATTAAGAGAATGTAGCTTTCTAACATTGGCAATATCAACAAAACATAGTTTAAACCTAAATAGAAAATCAATAAAAATCCAATAAATTACCATCATTTGCCATATTGCTCCCACATTGGAACAAAAATAATAAATCATATTGAATTAATATAGAAAAAATAGGCGTTGCCGATATTAACATTAGACAAATGTGTTGAACTGTTATTAATCCTATATTTAAAATCAATATTTTTTTAACATAATTTTAAATTCTTTAATATTTACATTATAGACAGAACATAGCTCTCCAACATTGGCACTATCTACTAAACAAAGATTAAACCTACATAGAAAATCCAATAAACTACCAATATATGCTATATTGCATCAACATTGGTGCAAAAGGGATACTGTATATTGGATTAATATTGGAAAAATAGGCATTGCCACTATGAACTTTAGAAAAATATGTTGGGCTGATATTAATCATATGTTTTGAATAAATATTTTTTTGATATAAAATTGAATTCTGTTACCAATATGGGCAACTGCTATTGTTTCATCATTTAGAGAACATAATTCTTCAAGATTGGCCCTATCTACAAAACAAATATTAAACCTAAATAGAAAATCAATAAAAATCCAATAACCTGCCGTTATTTGCTATATCTCACCCACATTGGAACAAAAATGCTAAATTATATTGGATCAATATTGTGAAAATAGGTTTTGCCAATATAAACGTTAGAACTATATGTTGGACTAATATAAGGGCAATATTATGAAGCAATATCTTTTAGTCATAAAATAAAGTTCTTTTGCCAATATTGGCTGCAGATCATTAATATTGGTCCAAGTTTCAAATATGGGACCAACATTTTGCCAAGCGACAGCCAAGATTCATTGTTACCTGGGAATATTGGTATCAGGTCGCTGAGGCCCCATTCATTTAACAAATGTTCCATTTCAATTTAATTTATTCATACACTTATTAATTGAATCACAAAGAATTTCCAACAAAAAGTAAAATGCAACCCTAACGATACGATGCAAACATGTTAGAAAATGGACAATAGGATGATCACGTGCTAATGCCAATTTGCCAGTATAAATGCGTTGTCTCTGACTTCCGAATAATAAGTATCACATCTCAACATGTGCCACTCATATATCTACCGTATCAGTGCAGTGGTTTCCTTTTTAAAATAAGTTTCCGCTGGCAACACCGTGCAGTGAATTTGTACTACCTAATCTTTTGTGAAGTACATAGGTTTTTGATTCGAATTGTTTAATTCTTGTTTTGAAATTTAAATGCTTTGAATCTAATCCTTTTATAACATTGAATTAAGTACGCAATAGTCGGTTTTAAGAGCATATCATACTTATAATAAACGTAAGAGATTAATTATTATAACTCTTAAAATGCAAGATTATGCCCTATACTTCACTCAACATTTATTTTCTTATTGTATCGAGAAATATTATTTGAAGCAAACTCTGCTTTATTTCAAACAAATGTAATCTTCCAAGTGTAAAGCTTTTCTTGAATGCAGATGATAATTTTTTTCTGTGTGAGTCTACAACTAATAAATCTTCTAAAAAACACACAAAATAAACCTGGTGACACTCGCTGTGTTTGACACCAAAAAATGGCGGACTGTCGAATGTTGGCTTCACTTCTCTATACACGATTTAAGTAGCTATGCCGCGTCTCCTCTCTTTCCTTGTCTAAGGGATACAACACTATAATATACAACAAAGATTACCATAAAAAGCATTGGCAACTAGAGCACATCGCTTGACAACTTGTAAATTGATCCTGAGAAAATGGCGGTGCAATCGACGCTGATCTGATACATGGACCTTGCAAAAAATTGAGTCGCAATACTGATTGTTCTCTATTCTGTGGTAGTAGCTTACGAACCGTTGGTTAGAACCATATTTTTCATAGCTGTAACACCTAAAACTGTCAATCGCCGTGTACTGTACTTTTTCCTGCTTCTTAAATTTTTGTTGGACAGTAAATAAATAATATTACTGATTTTGTTTACTTTAAAACTTATTTGTAAACCATTACAATTATGATGTTTTTCTTTAGATGTTAGATTGGCAGCTTTGGAATGTCTAGTGGATTTTGTTAAAGCTGATGGAAAGTATGAGGATCTTCAATACGTTTTGGAAATACTGGAAAATGATCCAGATCCTGGAATGAAACACAAGCTAGCTGCGTTGTTGATTAAAAATCCTCCATTCAAAAGAGCGCATAGAAGTAGATTGGATGTACCGGATCTTATAGAGAGAATATGGACCAATATCAAGTAAGTAACAATTAAAATTATAATGTCTGCATATAATATAGTAAAATAAAATCGTCGCTGGGCTATAAAAAATTCGTAAGCGACAAAAGGCTAATTTTACAAGAAACACATAAAACTGCCTTATAATATTAATTTAATTGAAAAAACATTTTTTGTTCTTTTATCATGTAACTGACAGAAATATAGTTAATACTGTTTCTTAAAAAAAAAAAAATAAAAAATAAATTGTCGCTTACGTGGTATTCACTTATAGGGAATTTGTGCAACATTGTCATAATGTTGGATGAGAAATTAAAAAAATAAACTATGTTCAGATAAATATTTATTAAGCATTTTAAAATTATGTAATATAGTCTTAATTGATTTGCCAAGTAAAAATTAAAAAATATTAAAATTTAAAAAAAAACTGACTTCTAAAAATTCTACATAACAAAATTACCTTTACATTCCTGAATTTCTTCTTTTTTTCTATTAACGCATAAAATAAGTTAGTTATCTCGGAAAATCAACTTAAATTAAAAAAAAAACTAAAGAATAAAAAAGAAAATGTGTAAACAAAAATTCATTTAAATTGCTTAAGAAATATCAAAAAAATATTAAGTAGAAGTATGTATTTCTCTTAGAAATACGGAAGTTCATCGTATTATCCATGGCAGTCACGTGGAATCACTTTTTAAAGTTCTTGCAGGTGATTCAATTTTTCTCTTGATATTTTTAATCTTGCAGGTTAAAGTTGTGGTAGTTCAAAAAATGATTCATCCTTTATCCGTTTTGGTAGCTGAAGCCATTCATAAGTTACATTGATTTTATAATGTATTTCTCCTTTTGGTAAATATTTATATGAGCAGACATCTGTAACTACATGATCTCCTGGGCTCTTTCCGGGTCTAATAAATGAAACCTAACGGACCGCTGAGAAATCTTTAAAAAACATATAATTGAGATAGTGAGCTTGATAAGGCTGCTTTGGTCTTGCTTCTTTACATATTATGGCATAATCAGAAGGAATGTAGATTTCCTTATTTTTCAGTTTTCCCTCAATGGTACTATGAATACTCTCGACTTCCATTTGAGTGTGCCCCTTTTCCAGATAGTGCTGAGTGATTATGCCATTTTTCTCTATAGCTAACTTTAACAGTGCATTTCCCAAAACGACATTTCTGTTTTGGTATGTGCAGCCATCGCTAATAATACCCACTCAATCGGCCTGGTGATTTTCTATTTTGTAAGAAAATCTATTACGCAGCTGGCAAAAACGATGCTACAAGGCCACCTTCACTTTCATTCCACAAATAACAAGTGACATCTTTTGTAGCCATGTTGTAAAGTGTGAAATTGTGCACACATAATGAGGATAGTTTCACGGCTTGCAAATCCTTTTTTTATGTTAGCTGCTCTCCTTTATTGGCTTTTTCTTTTTCCTAATTCTTTTGCTCTCTTCTTTTCTCCTTGTGCATAATCTTCCTTATACACCTTGTGTTTACATCCAATGCAGGTATCGCACTGGTCCATTTTTGGTTGAAAAAGTCCCAAATTCTTGACTTTAAATATCTCAAGAAATTGCTTTCTTGCCAATGGTTGTTTTCCATCATTTTGACACATTTCAAGATAAATCCGATGCAGCTCCGATTTTGATTCAATTATCGGCTCTAAGTATTCCTTAGACATCGAAGCTCGGCAGTAGTGGGATGACATTTTTGGCAGCCTATTCAAAAACAGCAGCAAACTTTTTTTGTTCGTCTCTTTCACATTTCTGGGGTAACTATTATTCATAGTTATTATATCTTGGTGCATACCATTTTTGCCTTTCATGACCCAATTTCTAACTGTCCATTCTTTCAATCCAAATGTCGATAAAAACAAAGTTTTGCATACTGGGTGTAGCTCATCATTTATCTTTAGGTTGTAGTGCAATGTACCTATTCATCGTGATGGGCTGTTAGTATTTTTCCTAACTCTATTTCTTTCTTTGAAAGTGACTATACACTTTTCTTTGTTTCCAATCCATGTGTTGCCAAAACCTTGTAAGAGACGTTCCCGGTCAGCTTCTAAGATGTCTGGACATAATCTTGTTTTCATCCTCTGCATTCATTGCTGAAACAGGGTAGACCCATTTTCCTTGCTGCTTTATTCATACTGTAGTCTTTTCTTCCAGCCTGGTTCTTTTGAATACCAGTATAGTCTTCGCCCTTCATACGTAGAAATTTATTTTTATAACACTGCCACTCTTCAGATTTAGCCTTCCCTTTTCTTTTTTTTTCTCGCTGGGTTAGCTTCTCTTTCTTCTGCCCCATTTTCTTCACTTGTGTTATCTGGAGGAGAAGGCATAGAGTTAATCTATTGATCCTTTTCGTCTGAAATTTTGATATATTATCATATTGAAACATCAACATCATTAGTATGGACAATCCTAAAAAAAATATAATTATGACAAAAATTAGAAATGCTACATGTTCAACTTACATTGATCTTCCTTTAGAAGGTGCTTGAATACAGTGTTCCTCATTGGAACCAGTGGGAAGTTCCTCATCAAAAAGTACACCATTGGGAAGAATACCATCTCCTGAAGTATACTGCAAAAATTAATTATTAATGCAAAAAACTACTTAAATTAAAATTAGGATTGAAATGAAAAAAATTGCCATTAAAATAACTTTAACGAGGCCTTACTGTATTTTTCAATGTACAGCGGGATTTAGTGTTGCTGCAAAAGAATTATTCTAAATATTACTCACATCGGCTTTGGATTATCAATCTCTAGGACAAATTCAATATTAGGAGTCTCGTCAAGCATCACAGGGTTATTATTCACTTCTGAATCTCTTACAACTAAGTTTGGCATTTTCCAGCCTCTACTAGTTGGATCCATTTTAGAAGTATCCAAATAGTAAATTATTAATAACTGAAAGTACGTTATTCCTACACAACCACCGATTAAAATATTGAGTAATACTTGCAGAGAAATAAGTTTTCCTAGGCAATAACTACAGCAGTACAAATAAACATAAATGGCCGGCACAGCAAAATGCAAGTGACGCTTACGTGGTTATATCACTTGACTAAAAATATGCATTCTATTGGTCGGCGCCTTGTGAGCTTTTCGCATCTCAAGCCAGTCAGCTTTTTGATCAAATTAACACCTAAACCCCTTTTAGATATTCGTGTCGCTTACGAAAATTTCTTGGCCCAGCGACGAAATATATTAATATGGTAAACATTTCATTGTTTTCTATCCTGGACTAATTGCATCCATATTTTTGTCCAGATTGTCTTCTTAGGACATCTCTCCACCTCATTTGAGGTCATTTTCTCTTGTCAATAGTCTTCATTGTAGAATTATTTTGTTCTATCTCTCATCTTTTGGCCTTAGGATATATTACCTATTACGTTAAAGGACAGTTTAGAATTTTGAATTTGAATTGAAGTTATTTTTCATTTAGTAAGTTAAAAATGGATTGTTATTCAAGTTGAAACAAAATTAGTTCCAACAAATTATTTTATTTTAAAAATTGAAAATATATTAAAGAGAAAGTATAATAAAACACATTTAAATGCAGTCTGAAATAAAAAGATAAAATGGTGTTGGAATGATGAGATCGCAAAATAATAAATAATTGCAATTATTAACAACTTATTGTTAGTAATTCTGTACAAAGCTTTGTTACTTAGCAATAGTTTTTTTATTCGATTGAAACTATTCATGCATTTAAGACTCTTTTCACGAACAAGAATGTAAAAGAAATGTTGAGTGCACTTGGGCCTCATGATCTTTTTTGGCGTCAGCCGCAAATTTCTGATTTGGCAAAAAAGATCAACTTTACGACGGTACACAAATAACTATTTTTGAACCTTGTTAATTGTTTAATACTTTTTTATGTATTGTTGAATATCTAGCATACACACGTTTATTTTATTTCTTTCAAGTTTGATTACATGGGTTGTGACGTATTTCATCAGTCCAATTTTTTATCCACCCGTTCTTTTTCCTGCCTGATATTCAGCAGTCTTTTCATTTTCATATAATTAGTTGACCATGGTCCTAATTCCTCTTTTTACCGGCACGAAAAACGGAGCAGTTGAATTTTTTTAAACAAACTTAAAATTTTAATACTTTGTGATGTTTTATTATTATAATATCTTAAACATAAACAAAACAACATGTTTTAAGTATTTTCTAACAACAATTGAACCTTTATTTGAAGAAAAAAAGGGTTTTGTAATATTTTAAAAAACGAAGACGAAAAAGCACAAATTGGTGTTGTTGCTAAATGACTTTAAATTAATCAAAACTGAAACGACTTGCTAGCAAAAACTGGGGAGCCGCATTTTTAATAACGTGTGTTGCCCCCACGTGCTCGAATAATAGCCTGCATCCTCATTGGCATGCCTAAAATTAAGTGGCGAATGTCCTCTTGAAGAATATGTTCCCATTCCTCTAAAAGAGCTTGTTGCAACTGATTTAAAGTTAAAGGAGCAGGAACACGACTTCGCATCCTTCGCCCAAGCATGTCTTAAACATGTTCAATTGGGTTCGCATCCGGGCTTAACGCTGGCCACTCCATAACAGGAATGTTTACATCGTTTAAGTACTGTTGAGTGATTCTCGCGATGTGAGGTCTGGCATTATCATGCATTAGAAGAAAGTCATTTCCAATAAAGTCAACATAAGGGACAACAAAATCTTGGAGAATTTCATCAATGTACCTGGCAGCAGTTAAGGAGCCTCTCGGAAGGATGTACAATTCTGTGTGTGCCTCCATAGAAATTCCGGTCCTCACCATAACTGAGTCTCCTTGGTAGCCTACCCTAGGACTGAAGGTACATTCTGCGAAACGCTCTTGTGGTCTTCGCCATACTCTCTCACGACCATCTGGAGACCGCAGGCTAAATCTGGACTCATCCGTAAACAAAACGCGCCCCCATTCATTTTCACCCCAGTGCTCATGATTTCTGGCAAACTGAAATCGCGCAATACGATGACGCCTAAGGAGCTCTGGGCCTGTTGCAGGTCTACGACTGGTAAGATTGGCTTCTCCGAGTCTTCGTCTAACTGTCCGTTCGCTTATGTTGGTTTGCCGGACGTGATGAAGTCGATTTCTGATTTCAACAGCCGTAGCATGAGGATTTCGCAGACTTTGTAAGGTGATAAAGCGATAATCATGAGCGCTAGTTCTTCGTTGGGGACCAGTTCCAAGTCGTCTGGTGTAAGCTCCAGTTTCCAAAAAACGTGTAAAAATACGATGCACAGTGCTATTGGATATCTGATACTGTTGGCCAACATATCGCTCACTTCTTCCGTCTTGAAGCAACGCAACAAGAGCAGCCGCTATTTCGGGATTAACAGCCATAATTTTGTAGGTGAAATAAACGCAGCACAACTTTAAAACGTGTTTCGATCTGTCAAATTTCTCAAAACAATGAAAACAACAGCATTGTTGGTCATGGTTTCATAGCCAACTAAGCACTTTGAAGTGATAAGTCCGTTCAATGTTTGATTTTTATTCGAAAACGCTTTTTTCTTCAAATAAAGGTTCAATTGTTGTTAGAAAATGCTTAAAACACGTTGTTTTGTTTATGTTTAAGATATTATAATAATAAAACATCACAAAGCATTAAAATTTTAAGTTTGTTTAAAAAATTCAACTGCTCCGTTTTTCGTGCCGGTGAGTGTATGAATGCAGTATTTATCACATTGTAGTGCTTGATTTAATAATTTCAGTAATATTGTATCTCTCTGTCTATATCCTCGATCTGTTTTTATACATTCAGTATTCTTTCAGTATGACCGATGTTGACTTGTTGTATATGTTAGTAATGAAATCGGTGAACCTTAAGTCATTCAGCTGTTTTGTATTAAATTTTTCACAGTGTAGAACTTTAAACTGTCTAAAGCTTTTGTAGTCTACACAGTCTACGTCTTATAACAGTGTAATTTATTTATTTGGCTTTTTTATTTATTTTTATTTATTTTTTTACAGTACACCAACAATCTAAATGGTACATTTAAAATATAAAAAAAATACATTAAAATAATAAAATTGTCACAATATAAATAAGGTCAGTAATGTAGTGAAAGTTGAAAATTTAAAGAAAAAAAAACTTATTAAAATAAGAATGAAAGATTGTACAATTTTCTTAAATGTGGTTTGATTCAATATAATAAATATAAAAATACAACCGATTAGGCCTGTAATACAAAATTAAATACAAATTAACACTCAACACAAAATTAAGTGTTAATTACCACTTGTATTGCGACCAGATGATGGCCACAGAAGCCGAAACCAATTGCTCCGTTGTATTTTAATATTTATTATATTGTATCGATTTTGAGTAGTTTTATTCTTATTTATATTAAAATGTTCGTTAGGTGATCACGGGTACTGAACTCTTTCCGAAACCCGAATTGTAGGCATATACTCGTACTTAATTTCGACTGAAAAATTCAAATTATTGAATTATTTATGCAAAGATAAATGTCTTTTTAGATTATATCCCCTTTAAATGTAATTCTATTTTAGTTATTTTCATTTTCAAGGGCATATTTTTAATGTAATTTTGTTCAGTTTTTAAGATTGTGCTAGAAAGATCTCAAAGTTCTTTTGAATAGTATTTTTTCTACACCCACATAGATATTAGCTTATCTACGCACCGATTACAAAACGAAAAAGTATGCTATTGCGAATATATTTCATATCCATTCTAGGTAGTGGGAACACTGCAAATAAATGAAATCCACCAATCACAGTTCATATTTTCTACTATTGTTTTTAAAATTTTAAATTAGTGACAATTCTGTCAAACTAATTGTCAGTATATTTTTTGAGATTAAATATACATTAAAATTAGTTTTTTTTTTTGTGTAGAATCGATAAATAATAGCATTTTTATTTGGACCAAATTTTGAAAAAAATATTAAATTTTAATCAAAGTATATGATACTAATTTAATTACGAGTATTAAAACTAAAATCATAGTGGTGGTGGAGCTGAGGACAAAGCATCTGCCTTCCATGCGAATATCCCAGATTCGAATCTGGGCTAGGGATTAATTTTTTTTTTGTTTATTTTATTTTATAAATTAGTAAAATATAATGTACAACTAAAAAATATGAGCTGTGATTAGATGATTTTATATCCTTACTATTATTACGAAACAAACAATAGTAAACCACTCATTAAATATGAACTGAGATTTTTAGATTTCATATCCATAGTGTCCTTACTTGAATTGATATTAAATTATATTTGTTCAGTAGACTGATATGGTTCTGTGGTTGGTGCGTAGAATAAATAACATATATGTGTGTGTAGAAAAAATATATTGTCTCGTTTTACTATGAAATTATGTTACCATCTATTAATAATTCTATCAATTTTATTTGCAGCTGCATGTTATCACATGATACAAGACTTCGGTGCGACTTGGTCGATATTTACTACATCCTATATGGTATGAAACGACCAGTCTGTCTTCCCATAAACATGAACGACATTTTAAACCCCAACAGCAAACATGAAACAAAAAAGATAAAACTGCCTACTATTCCAAAAATAGCACCTCCACCCAGCGAGCAGCAAATTAAATTGAGAAGTCCATCGCCCACGTTAAAAGAAGAAGCCCCTCAGACGATAATAATGGAGACGGTAGATATGGACATTGAAGTTGTAGCTAATGAAGAAAAAGATATTAAAGTAAGTTATATTTTAAATTTTAATTATATTGTTTCTAATAATAATTCCACATATCATGATGATTAAATTTGAACGTATACATTATAAGAGAGACGCTAAAATAGTGGTTCCCACCTTATCGAGACTGAGGCCCACAAGGGCAAATTCGTAGCGTAACATAAACGAGAAATGATTTAACTTGGAACGAAATACCGAAAGCCGATAGTAGTATTAACACGTTTAATTTTTTGGTTTGTGAAGCATTGGCATTACTTAGGTTAAACCATGTGATGATTTTCACAAGCCTTGATTTTTAAAACCATTCTATATCGCCTTTTGATTAGGGTTTAAAAACTTGTTCGAACAATTTATCCAATAATAATTGGCCCCTTTACCTCTTAAGCCTGCTTATGTAAAATATTTGGGCTTCTTACTTCGCCTATTTATATTCTATTAATAAAAAACAGAAGGATGAGTATTGCAACTATGTTAAAAGAAATAAATTGGCTTTCAGTTCAGAATTATGTTCATTACATGACTGATATTAATTTATAAAATAAAAATGACATAGTACCATCGCATCAGATCTATTAGAAAAAATTCAATATAATTCGCAATATCACAACTATAATACAAGAAACCAATCTGACTTTCATGTACGGCAAGTCATCACTAAAAGTTCCCAAAATACAATTTTTATTAAAGGTTATAAAATTTAATAGACTGCCTACAGAAATTAAAAAAAAAAACAATAAATGTATTCAAAAGTAATGTCAAACAATCCTTGATAAATAAACAAAACGGATATACTTTCTTGTGATAATACTCTTTGAACCTGCCCTTTTTAAGTATTTCCCTTAATTTATTGTTATTTTACCCCTCGTTTTATCCGCATTTATTATAGATTATTTGTTTTGAGATCATGTACTTTATTTTAAAAAATTACTTGATGTTATAATAATACCACTTACTATGTTTAAATTATTAATAGTTTTGCGAACATAGGTTATAGCAACTTATAGCCACAAAACTATTTTTGTGTTAAAGTAGATCGATCCATAGAGAGCAATGTAATTTACAAAGGCTTTCTTTCAACATACAAATAAATTACAACTTTATAATTAAAATGAAAAACAACAAAACACCTCGGTATCATAAATGATTCAAATTTGAAATGGGCATTATATCCTACCTCTCTTTTATATAATAAAAAAGTGCTTTGTATAAGAACATTATATTATCTGTCTTGCTGTACCTTTATTTATGAAAAGCCTGAATTAAAGAAGAAGTATACATTTTTAAATAATTTGACATTTAAGAGCTATTCACATATCACAGCTGACATCTTGATACTTGACAGGCACAGGCAAGCAATATTTTGATTTTTGTCAAATAAAATGACCGGTTAATTATTCTATGGGGTTGCGACAGAGAGCCAGTAAATTTGATGAAGGTGTTTTAGTGGCTAGGGGCGAAATAGTAGTACGCTTAATAGCACCACCATAACAAGTCATTTTTAAGAAAATGCTTATATATTTTTCATAAATTGGCAGGCTTGGCGACTAATTGCGAATGAAAATAGCCTCTAAATGGCTATATGATTGCAAGTATGAAGGTCGCAACCCGCCTTAGAAAGTTCACCTTTACTATCAACAGCTGTTGTTTGACAGGTCGTTAGAGAATGTTTGCAATTTATGGAATGTGAAGAATGTTAGGAATTTTGACTTTAGAAATAATTGGAATTCCTAAAATTGTCACATAAGGAATGCATAGGCGGATTTTAAGAAAATTGTTATTAAAGTAGTTAGGATGAACCGAAAATTCTGAAAATCAATAGGGTTCTAAGTTAGAAGTAATTATTCAAGAAAATCAAAACCGCAAGTCAATCAGATCTTTCGTTCTGAGTTATCAATCAATCAATATATGTTTATTGTCAAAGCTACAAGAACTTATAGACAAACACTTATATAATTATTATGTAGTACTAACAATTACATGCATAAAAATTTCAAAATTGTATAAAAACGTTAAATATAAAATTAGAGGTTAATTACAAATACAAATACGTAACACAACATCGATAAAATTATATAAATACAAAAACATGTACGTTCAAACAGTCACAACGATTTAAGAGTCATTGTAAAATTCCGTCAAAGCATAATATGCTTTTGTCATCAACATATCTCTAAGCAGTATTTTAAATGTTGTGACCGTTTCCGTCGATTTAATATCATTTGGCAACTTATTGTACATTTTAATCCCATTATAAATGAAAGAGCCCCTTACCAGTTCAGATTTGGGTATGGGCAACCGCAGGTTGTCAACTTGTCGCGTTAGCCGAGCGTTAGTATTGGCATAGTTCGATTTATTTTTATGTATAATACAAGTGGTTTCAAGAATGAACAACGATGTTAATGTTAAAATTTCATTTCTAATAAAATGTGGCTGACATGACTCAAGCTTGTTCATTCCACATAAAAATCGTATTGCTCTCTTTTGCAGACGAAAAACAGTATTGAATAATTCGCGGCTGCAACCTCCCCAAAATGCAATTCCATATCTCAAATGGGACTCAACTAGGGCGTAATACACACTTTTTGCTGCCTTAAAACCTAGTTCTTTTGCCACAGTTCTGCCTGCAAAACATCCAGAAGAAAGTTTTCTGTTTAGCAATTCTATATGGTTTCTAAATTTCAAATTATTATCTAAATTAATTCCCAGAAATTTAATTGTGTCAGTACATTCAATAATATGACTTCCCAACTGAATATTTGGTAGGGAACATTTAAGGGTTAGCATTTTAGTTTTTCCCATATTAGGACGCAAATAGTTGGCATCGCACCATGCTTTGATTTTCTTAATGTCACAGGATATGGTGTTGTATAGGACAGAAGTGTCATTGCTGTGCCATAAAATCGTAGTATCATCTGCAAATAGAGTGAAAGTACCTGCAATTTCAAAGTCATTCACATAAAGGAGAAATAAAATGGGACCTAACACAGAACCCTGAGGGACACCCCAACTAATATCTAAAACTTGAGAATCCTGAGCCGTGCCGGCATACATACAGACTACCAGACGAATTTTTTTTTTGGATTTTCGGATTCAGAATGATCAGAAATATGAAAAAATGTTTTAAAAAATGGGGGTCAAAAAATTTTTTCGTCTGCACGAATGCAATACTGAGGCCCCATAGGAAGGGCCTCAGTAAAAACTATATTTGTAGTACAAGATCCAATAAATGAAGTACCATTTGAAAGTTCATCTATAAGAACCGAAAAACAGTTTGTCTAAATAATTATCTATAGGTTACTCAAATATATCCTAACTTAAATTAAAGATATTTTTAATCTCTAACGGGTGGTATTGGGTTGCCTAAAAAAACTTGTGTAACAGAAGAGGCGCGCGCGACAATCAAGGACCTACAGTGGCAAATATATGCGTACTAAGCGGCAGCTGCTGGGTGAGAGAGAAAGGAAATTACGTGTTCTGTTTTTCATCCGTCATCAACCCACATTATTCATACATACGTACTCAAGTCTCGGTTGATTTTAGACTTGTAGATCTGCTTATAAAAAAACGTTTATAATAAAAATCCTCTTTTAATTAAAAAAAATATAAAATACAAGGTATTTCATTTAAGGTACTGGCTAGCCGACCGCCGGCGGTAGTTGAATTTAATAAAACGAAAACCGTCTTCCGGCGGCATGGTCTTCTCACATATAAGATTTGTTGATGAGGGCGGCAGGCTATCAGAGTATTGATAAAGCCGCCGAACGACGGTCTACTGTATAATGGCCTGGTGAGAAGTGTCCTGGAATACTGTTCTGTTATTTGGCAATCTACTTACACCTGTCATATCAATAGAATTGAAAGGGTGCAACGTAAATTCGTAAAATACCGATTTCATAGCCATAACACATGTTATCAAATAAGATTAATGCTTTGCGGCATGCAGAGCCTGGAATGCAGAAGAAAACAGGCTTTACTCCTATTTCTGGCTAAATTAATAGGTGGTTCCATCAAGTGTGGGTCACTGCTTGAATGAGTTTAACTATTGGTTCCTGCCCGACACTCGGCACACATCACTTTTGAATGTAAAAAGATACAAAACCAATTACGGATAAAGTGCATTTATTGATCGCTTATGCAAGATCTATAACAAATTTTACTCGGACTGTGATATATTTAATTGTAATATTTTGGCGCTGAAAAGGGACTTGCAACTCCTGAATGTCTAAGTTTTACTCGTGTCGTCCCGCGGTGTTGTGTTATTCTTTCTTTAATATTTTATATATTTTTTAAAATTTATTTTATACTGTTTTTAACTCTACAATTGTTTGTGTTAGGTTAGATATACTGTACTATTTGGAATTTTACATTCTGTATGTGCTACATAAACAAATAAATAAAAAATAAAATAAATAAATGAATGAATGAATAAATAAATAAATTAGGTGTATGGCTACAGGCGATAGAGGTGTATTGTCATGCTAATAAGCTGTATGCAATAAGTATTCAAACCTAAATTATTTACAAATATTGTATTGGTATAGTTGTTAGTGATGGGTTTATATTGTATCCCAATAAACAATGAATTTCCGGGATATTTCTGGCCTTTTGCTGTAATCGAAGAGAAAATGAATGCGACGATTAAAAGGTAAAAGCCTACTTTTTGCCTTTCGATAATGGCCCAGCATTATGTTGGTTGATGATGGCCATATGAAGGGTAAGTAACTATTAAGTAAGAGCGAGGTAAAAGTTAAAAGGCATTTAACTGCCGCAGACCCAAACCCCAACAGTCCATGAGGGTGGTATTCACCGTTCAGTATTCATTGTAATTTCTTACTCATGCATGTTGTTAATTTAGAATATTTTATGAATATACTTTTGGTAGAAGACATTTTTTCTCTATTATATATTATATAGCTGAATTAAATAAAATGTCTACAATATTCTATATTAGAATGCATTCGGTTTTAGTATAGAATTTATACTTCAAAC